GGATCCGCCGCACCCAGGACCTCAAGGCCAGCTGAGCCCGACATGAAGATGTTCTGGTGCAGAGGTATTTTTTCCAGCGAGGCTTAATGAGGTTCTAGAGGCCCCCGAGTGGAATGAATGCCAGATCGTTTATGATGTCGACATGTTTGTCCTCGCCCCCTCGTACGAGACCTACTCCAGCATCAGCGGTCCGATCCAGGCCCACAGGGCCTACCTCGATGGTTCGGTCAACTCAGCCGACGCTCCTTTCGCCCGTGGTGGATGGGGGGTAGCTTTCGACTTCGACGTGACTCCAGATGAGAACTCGTTCCCAAGGCTGTACGGATCGATCGACGGTCAGCAAACGGTTCCTTGCGCTGAGCTTGCCGCCTTGTACTACTGTCTCCTCTATACCCAGGGGCCCCTCGAGATCTGGACCGACAACGCATTGGTATACCGCGGTTGGAATTCTAGAATGTGGCTGTACCCTCGAGGCCCCCATCAACAGTGGTGGCAGCGGATCAAGCATGCAATCCTCCAAAGGCCCGACAGGATCTCCAACGTTCGAGTGACGAAATGCCACTCCCACCTAGACGCCGTGAGCCTCCAGTTTGCCTCTCAGCCCTGGTACGTTTCCCTCGGTAATGCAAGAGCCGACGCTTTGGCCCAGAGAGGCCGAGCGAAAGCCCTGAGATTAATTCAGCCTCAATTATATTCTTTGAAGGACTATGAAACTCTCCTGCAACGGGTCCACGAGCGTTTGGCGGCCGTTGCCACGGCTGTTAACGCGCTGCCTCGGGTCAAGCACCAGCGTCCTCCGGTTGCGAATTCGAAGATCCGCAAGAGGCCAGCGAAGATAATTGCGATTCGGCAGGAGCTCGAGCGTGCCACGGGCCACTGCATTATGCAGCACCCCAAGGAAAAGAAGTGCTGGTTCTGTGTCCACTGTAACGTCGGCCCGACACGAGATGCCTTAGAAAGTTGGATGCAGAAGTGCCCATGCAAAGGTAGAGCTGTAATATGTCCTTGCCGATTCCGCCCCCAGCATACCCCTCTCTTACAGTTGGAGGTAAGATGATACACCCGACCCATTCGGTGCAGCTCATGAATGGTCAATCGTGGTGTACGAAGTTTGCGAGGCTCGGCAGTTGCACAAGCACGAGAGGCGGCAAACTCAACCAACTCCCCGTCTTTTTGTCCAGGTGGTGTGGGCACCGACAGTGGTAGGGAGGCCCTGCGCAGGTTGGCCAATTGTCAGCCCCCGAATGTTTCGGCCAAGTCTTGGCCCTCAGCGGACCCCCCATTAAGCCCCTCAAAGCCTGCAAAGTCAAGCGTGCACGCCCGATGTAAGAGGCTCGGTCGCAAGGGCCGCGTCATGTTTTGGCCACGACCGCGCCCCCTCGGTGGGCCGATCCTCCTCCTCCTCCTCCTCCTCGTCCTGCTCCTCGTCCTCCGCTTCTTTCTCCTCGTCCCATCGCTGCCACTCATGCTACTTTTGCTGCCCGTCCTCCTCCCGCTCGTGCTGGGCGATTGCCGTGCCCGGCATCAGATTTGGCCCACGCGCGCCAGGTCCGTGACCACTGGGGGCTGCGTCACATTAGCTTCCCCAGCGTCAGGTTATGGGGTGGGCAGTAGCAGCATTGCAGCTACATCAGCATGTTTACCGCAGCGGCCATAACATCGCAGGTTGAATGATCAAGGTTAGAAGGTCAAGCGCAGCGGGCCTTAAAATCTGGTGTATATGTATCGGAGGTGAGGGGGTGAGATCGAAGTGGAACGGAGAGCCCCCCTACCGGGAAATCGATTTCGGTTTCGTGTTCGTGCGTGCCGTGCGGGCGAGGCGAAGCTGCGTGGGCGGGCGAGAGAAAGTCTCCTGTGGCTGAGGCGCGGCCGGACCAAATGATTCCCTTCCGGGCGGCCGGGGGCCCGCGGTGTCCCGCCGGTGTCCCGCTGGTGTCCCGTGTGGCTGAGGCGCGGCCGGACGAAATGATTCCCTTCCGGGCGGCCGGGGCCCGCGGTGTCCCGCCGGTGTCCCGCTGGTGTCCCGTGTGGCTGAGGCGCGGCCGGACGAAATGATTCCCTTCCGGGCGGCCGGGGCCCCGCGGTGTCCCGCCGGTGTCCCGTCGGTGTCCCGTCGGTGATGATGATGATGATGATGATGATGATGATGATGATGATGATGATGATGATGATGATGATGATGATGATGATGATGATGATGATGATGATGATGATGATGACAACGATGATGATGATGGTGATGATGATGGTGGTGATGATGGTGAGTTCGGTAGTGAGATCGATGGATCCCCGATAGTGAGGTCGACCCAATGTGAGATCGATAGTGAGATCGATAGTGAGTTCGATAGTGAGATCGATAGTGAGACCGAATGTGAGATCGATTGTGATATTGATTGTGATATCGATAGTGAGATCGATTGTGAGATCGAACGAGAGAGTCGATCATGACTTGAGATCGATAGTGAGTTCGATAGTGAGATCGATAGTCAATGTGAGATCGATTGTGATATTGATTGTGATATCGATAGTGAGATCGATTGTGAGATCGAACGAGAGGTCGATCATGACTGATAGTGAGTTCGATAGTGAGATCGATAGTCAGATCGATTGTGAGATCGATTGTGAGATCGATTGTGATATCGATAGTGAGATCGATAGTGAGACCGAATGTGAGATCGAAGATCGAATGAGATCGATCGAATGAGATCGATAGTGATATCGGTAGTGAGATCGATCGTGAGACCGAATGTGAGATCGATTGTGAGATCGATAGCCAGATCGATTGTGATATCGATAGTGAGATCGTTGGTGAGATCGAGTGTGAGATCGATAGCCAGATCGATTGTGAGATTTATCGAATGAGATCGATAATGAGATCGATAGCGAGATCGATAGTGAGATCGATCGAGTGCGACGGTGGTTCCCCCCCCTCGCCTCCTTATCACCCGAAGGGTGGTCTATACGGTATATGTATCTATGTGTATCTATATATATGTATATATATATATATATATATATATCCCGGGGGACGAGGGCAGGGCCCCTGGCCCAGGGACCTCGACGGGGCATGGGGGGCAACCGCTTCCGGAACAGCTCCGAGCCGGCCCCGGACGGGCCCGATATGGGCCAAGAACGCCCTAAGAGGCCCCCGATCGCCCAAAGACGCCCCAGATGGACCCAAGATTGCCCAAGACGCCCCAAAGACGGCCCACGACGCTTCCAAGAGACCCTCCCAGAGCGCCTCAAGAGGCTGAAATCGTAAATTTCACAAAGGTTTTGGAATGATTTTGGCCTTCCCACTGTTTCGGCTGTCCGACGCTCCAAGACGGCTCAAGAGGCCCCCAAGAGCGCCCCCAGACAGCCCAAGACGCTTCCAAGAGGGCCCCAAGACAGCCCAAGAGGGTCCCAAGAGGGCCCAAGAGGGCCCCAAGAGTGGAACTACGAACCGAAAATTCGCGCCTCCAGGCTCAAGACTGCCCCAGGAGGCCTCAAGAGGGCCTGAGGAGTCCCAAAAATATTTTCAAGAGGCCCCCAAGAAGCCCCACTAGGCCCCCAAGAGGCCCAAATGAAGCCTCCAGAAGCCCCAAAACTCGGCTCAAGAGGCTTCTAAACTGCCCCTGGGTCCCGAGAGGCCTACCACGAGGTCCCAGCACAGATACAAGAGGCCTCAGACCGCTTCCTTCCCGATCCCTACTCCTATATATGATCGCGGGCTCAGGGTCCTCGGGCCCCCCCCACCCACAGATGGGATGGGTCTCAGGGTCCTCGCGCCCCCCCCCCCAGATGGGATGGGGGGGGAGGAGGAGGAGGAGGAGGAGGAGGAGGAGGAGGAGGAGGAGGAGGAGGAGGAGGAGGAGGAGGAGGAGGAGGAAGGAGGAGGAGGAGGAGGAGGGGGAGGAGGAGGAGGAGGAGGAGGAGGAGGAGGAGGAGGAGGAGGAGGAAGGACGACGACGACGACGACGACGACGACGACGACGACGACGACGACGACGACGACGACGACGACGACGACGACGACGACGACGACACGACGACGACGACGACGACGACGACGACCACGACGACGACGTCGACTGGCGGGGCACACCGCACCCACAGAGGGGGAGGGAGGGGGGGAGGAGGACCATGGCGTCACCCCGCACACACCCACAGCAACACACCACACCCACACCACATCACAGGGGGGGGGGGGCCACCACGCCACGCCCACGCTCACTGGGGGGGGGGCATCGCGCGGGGGGGGGGGGGGGGTCGATGGCATTAGTATTGGGGGGGGGCCCAAACCCTCGACCATATTTCTATATATATATATGTATATATATATATATTATATATATATAATATATTATATATATATATATGCTACCCCCCCCATTAGGGACCTACCGTTTTTGTTTGTTTCTGTTTGTCGCACCGTAAACCCGCCGCTGCTGAGATCCCGATGGCAGCCGAACAGGATTCTAAACATATTCCAATATGATTTAAACAGGTCCGATGAGCTGGATATGCCTTTTAGGCTTGATCGGAATAACACTATGACCCACATCGGAACGGAGCATCGGTCAGAGCCAAATGGTTATTATCGAGCCCGAAGAACACCCCAACGAGACTTTCATGAGAAACCCCGCGATGACGTGATGTCGTGCCCATGACAATGTAGCACAGAATATGCAATGGCGCGGTGGCGGTGACATGATTGGTTCGCAAGCAGTGCGCCCCGTCTGGGTTCCAGACATCATTGGTATTCGTTTTGAACGTTATCCGTAGGAGCACGCAACGGAAAGCATCCATGGCATAATCCCCACACAGTGCAGGCGCACTAACCCAAGCCGACCCCACACGTCTGCCGCGGCAGACTATGCATATTGTACATTGCGCTAAATATGTTGCACTATGCGCACCGAATTGGCTCAATGGTCGTCGCCATTGTGCCAACATAGAACCCCCGCGTAATGGGTCGCACTGCCCCTGTCTAACCCAGAGCGCCCGCCGAGGGCCGATCACGCCACCAGCACGTCGCGCATGATGTGCTGCACCATCTCCCCCGTCTCGGCCCACATGCCGTCGTCCTTGTGCCAGTAGTCGTATTGGGCCGAGCGGATCTTCGTGGCGAGCAGCTTGGTGCCTGCCTTGGCGGTGGCGCTCCTGTGCAGGCGGTCCTTGATGAAGCGCCACGCACGGTCAATGATCTGGGTGCCGCTCTTGACTTTGAGGTGCTTGCCCGATGGGAGTACGTGCGTCTGCAGCTCGACATACCTGGGAGGAATCAGCACCCTCTTGCCGCCGACTTTCTTGTACTTCTTCTGGTGGACAACGAAGTCGTGGATGACACCTGGCACGCGTAATTTGTAGGAACGCGCCGAGTCAGTGTGAAAGACGACGTCGCGGTCTTCCAGCCAGCGCTCCGCCAGGGGTTTCCACTCTACCTTGCGCACGGCCCCAGGGCCAGGCGCCCGCTTCTCCGCCATCTCGGGGCACAATCTCGTAAGTGTCAGCGTGCGCGGCCTGCCGCGCTGCACAATGCCCAACCACTGCTCCCACATGACGGGGTGAGTTGGGTCTCCCAGAGGCTCGGGCCCGTCGGTCATGTCCAGCTTGTCGAAGGTCGCCTCGTCAGCCTCCACGTCTGCCCACACTTTCGACCCACTATATTCAATGGTCGGCTCCACGTCCTCCACGTACATCCTCCGCGCCTGCTCAACGTTACTCCAGATCCGCTCCACTGCCTTGTGGTTGACGCCGAACATGACGTGGGCGTTAGCGTGGGGGGTCCCCGCGAGCTTCGCCCGTAGAAGCACTGCCTGCTTCTGCAAGCTCTCGGCGCGCGAGTGCTCGCTGAAGATGGGGTTCAAGTAGACAGGGGACACGTACCTCTGGCAGCACTTCGCATCGCATCGATGCAAGAGGCGGTTGCCCTTGTGCGGGCGGGCGACTAACTCCCCGAGCGTGCCGCGCCCGCAGATGGGACAGGTCGCCCCAGTCCAATCGACGAGCAGCTTGTCCTCCCGCAGGATGTTCACGATCTCCACGTCAGACGCCGCCAATAGCTCTGGGACTGTGCGCTTCCACTTTGCTTGCTCGCGGCGCAAGCCCCTGCCAGGCGTCGCGTTCTTCCCCCTGGCGTACGGCACGTTCTTCCAGTCCTTGGTCTTGGTAGCAGACGGGCGCTTGAGCACCATCCGAAGCTTGCCCTTTGAGCCTTGCGCTCTTCTCCCCTACTGCTAAGAGCAAGGGCATTACGCCCTGCTGTGGCTCCTCCCCTATCATCCTCATCCTAAACAGGCATTGCGCCTTTGACTACACCCTAGGTGTTACACCCGTTTGAAGAGCATTGCGCTCTGATCTATTTGAGTATTACACTCCAAAGTAGTGCGCCCTGCTGGTTATCCTCCTGTCGTAGCCTCTCCTCCATCAGCCCGCGCGCGGGCGGCCTGCCTGTGGGCGGTGGCGGGCGGGGGTGGGGGGTTCCCCCTCCTCCTTATCCTCCTGCTCCTCCTCCTCCTTCTCCTCCTCCTCCGCCTCCTGGTCGTCACTCCCATACAATAACTAAAGAGGAGGCTCCCGCCTGATAGATCCCAACAATAACTGAAGAGGAGGCTCCCGCCTGAGAGATTCTCCAAACAACTCTCTGATGAGGAGGCTCCCGCCAGAAAGGTTACTACGGCGAGGGCATTGGATAAGGAATCATTGGATAAGAAATCCAGGGTTTGGAAGCCGGCGGAGCTCCAATTGTGGATGGGCCGTGGATGTCGCCACCGCCCTCATCGGATGAGGAATCCCCCAAGGTCTGATGCCTCCTGAGCACATTCCTTAACCAACGCCCCCGACGTAATCACAGTCTCTGAGGGGGCAACTTCGCCTGAAAGGTCCAACAACAAATAACAAACTGCTCCTCCTTGTCCTCCTCCATCCTCTCGACTGGACTTCGTCCTGGGACTCCTGACTCCTGACTCCTCCTCCCTCTCTCTCTCTCCTCCTCCTCCTCCTCCTCCTCCTGCTGCTGCTCCTCCTCCTTCACATAATGATCGTAACTCTCCTCATCATCATCGTCAACATCATCATCATCAGCATCATCATCATAATCAGCATATTCATCATCATGTTCGTAATCTTCATCATTATCATCATCACCATCGTCATCATCACCATCACCAACATCAGCATCAGCATCATCATCAACACAATCATCATCACCATAGTCATCAGCAACATCAGTATCATCAGCAGTACCATTTTCATATTCATCTTCTCCGTCATCATCACCATAATGTTCGTCATCCTCGTCTTCGCCATGTCCATGAGGGTCTTGCATGAGAGGTCCCCAGAACATGTGAGGAGGAAGAGGCTCCCGCTTGAGAGGTCCCCAACAAACGTCAGGATGAAGAGGCTCCCGCCTGAGAGGTCCCCAAAAAACGCGAGGAGGAAGAGGCTCCCGCCTGAGAGGTCCCAAAACAACGTGAGGAGGAAGAGGCTACCGCCTGAGAGGTCCCCAAACATCGCGCAGAGGAAGATGCTCCCGCCTGAGAGGTCCCCAACAAATTCTCTTGGGAGGAGGCTACCGCCTGAGAGGTCCAAAAAAAAAGCAAACAAGAGGAGGTTCCCGCCTGAGAGGTCCCCAAAAAACCCAAAGAAACCCAAACACCATGCCTCTCATCCCTGTAACTGCCCCAAAAAAACCCAAAAACCCAAAGTTCCAGAGGAGATGGCGGCCCTCGTCAATGCATCTGGGGCAGCGACGTCCGTTCTCCTCTGGAACTTTGGTTGTTTTGTTTTTGGGGACAGTTACAAGGATGAGAGGCATGGTGTTTGGGTTTCTTTGGTTTTTTGGGGGACCTCTCAGGCGGGAGCCTCCTCCTGTTTGGTTTTTTTTGGGACCTCTCAGGCGGAAGCCTCCTCCCAAGAGAGTTTTTTGGGGACCTCTCAGGCGGGAGCCTCCATTTGACCTTGTTTTTTGGGGGCCTCTCAGGCGGGAGCCTCTTCCTCCTCACGTTTCTTTGGGACCTCTCAGGCGGGAGCCTCTTCCTCTTCGCGTTTTTGGGGAACCTCCCAGGCGGGAGCCTCCTCCTCCTCACGTCTTTTTGGGACCTCTCCGGCGGGAGCCTCTTCCTCTTCGCGTTTTTTGGGGACCTCTCAGGCGGTAGCCTCTTCCTCTTCACGTTTTTTGGGACCTCTCAGGCGGGAGCCTCTTCCTCTTCGCGTTTTGTTAGGACCTCTCAGGCGAGAGCCGAGTCCTCTCACGCTTCTTCTCCCCATCCTCCTCATCCTCCTCCTCCTCCTCCTCCTCCGCCTCCTCCTCATCAACTTCCTTTTGTGCCTACGTCTTCGCATGCATGGACGACAAAAGAGAAGCAAAGAAGGAATGCGACGATAGTGAGGTAGGTCCCCAAGGGGGGGGACCATATATATGTATATACATATATATATATATATACAAGACTGCAATGGCGCTTCGCGCCATGAACCTTGGTCCTTGAGATTTGGTGTGCAGGCGGAGTAGCAGGAAAGTCAAGCCGACAATTTAGCGATGACTCCTTGTTGCGTTTTCCGGCATCGCCGCTATCATAATGTTCTTCGTTCTCCTTCCTCCATGCTTCTTTTTCTTCATTTTCGCCATGCCCTGCGCATTCTCCCCAGCCTCCGCAGCTCTTTTTTGCGGAGGCTCCTCCTTGGAGAGCCTCTGGGGCCTCACAAAAGTTGTTTCAGGCTTTCTTAAGGCCTTCGGGAGGCCTCCTGGGCGTATTCTGGGGGCCTCTGGGGGCTTCCTCGGGCCACCCTGCCTCCAACCGCGGTCTCCCTGAACGACCAGGTCACGATTTGGAATGCTTCGGAGGGTGTCTTGGGGCCATCTTGGGCCGCCATGGGGCTCTCTGAGGGCCATCTTGGACCTGTGTTGTGCCGTTTTTGGGCTCTCTTGGACTGCCCAGAAGCCCTTTCGGATGGTTGTGGGGCGATTTTGGAGCCTCCCAGGCGGCTTCGAACGCCCAGAAGACCGCCGTCTTGGAGCGTCGGGAAGCCGAAAAGAGGAGAACCCCCAAATTCACCAAAAACCAAAAGAAAATCAATGATGTTTGCCTCTTGGGGCCTTCTTGGGATGGCTCTTGGAGGCCTCTTTGGGGCCGTCCTGGAGGCCTCTTGGGCCATCTGGAGGTCACGCCGGTCACTCTTGGAGCGCTCTTGTGCTGTCTTGGGGGTCGCTGGGGCGTCTCCGATGACCCCCCTGATCGCCCTAGGTGTGCTGGGAAGGCTTGGCAAAACGCCCTGCGAGGCCCGCCGCTTCGAGGCCCGTCCAAAAATTCCCAAAGCCCCAGATCCCGGGAGTCCCGTTTTTTTTTGGGGGGGGGGACCCCTTTCGCGGTCCGCGGTTCACAATCTGATGGCCCAGCGTTTGGCTGGTGGAAGAAACTGGCTGCCATGGTTTATGCTGGGAGGGGGGAGAGGAGGAGGAGGAGGAGGAGGAGGAGGAGGAGGAGGAGGAGGAGGAGGAGGACGAGGAGGAGGAGGAGGAGGCGAAGAAGGAGGAGAAGGAGGAGAAGGAGGAGAAGGAGAAGAAGGGATGCACCAACTCCCTTCCTTCAGGGTATCTCAGAGCCCGCTGGTCTTGATACATTATATGATAGCGTTGCGCCAGGCCACGGACCTCCACTAGCGTGCTTAGAAGTTCTCTGGCGAAAGAGGCATCGCTAGCTCGCTCTCTGGCGCGGCTGGGGCACGGGCAGGGAGGGGAGGGGCGGGAAGGGACGACGGGGGACGAGGGGGAGGAGGACGGAGGATGCCCCTGATCGCCGAGAGCGCTTGCGCTCTGACCACCGAGCCCCAGTTCAATCGAGGCCCGCCTCATCCCCACGGACCACGCAAGTCGGCTGGCTCGACTGTACAACTTATAAAGACTGCACGGCGGATTTGCGACTCTGGCATCGCGGCGATTCTGCCAAACATAAGAAGCTGCCGGAACAACATGTATTGGCTTAGTTGTGGTTCGCGTGCTCGTCGCCGTACTCTTGCGTGTCCATGAGATGTTCGCGTGCCGCCACACGAGGTTTAATTCCTGGAAGGCTGACCTTTCTTCCGCAATCCGTCTTGCAACGGCTGCGCCAGTGCTTCCATCAGCGCACACCAATACACCTAGATACACTGCGGATACGAACGGTTTCACTTGCACCCCCTCTGCTGTCAGGATGTCAGTGTCATGTCTAACTTGCAGATGCAAAGTCTTCGACAAGTTAGACCCCCTCTGCTGTCAGGATGCCAGTGCCATGTTTGACTTTGCATCTGCTAGTTAGACATGACACTGACATCCTGACAGCGCGACAATTGACGACCGCAAATGCCTCCCGCTCGTGCTGGGCGATTGCCGTGCCCGGCATCAGATTTGGCCCACGCGCGCCAGGTCCGTGACCATTGGGGGTTGCGTCACATTAGCTTCCCCAGCGTCAGGTTATGGGGTGGGCAGTAGCAGCATTGCAGCTACATCAGCATGTTTACCGCAGCGGCCATAACATCGTAGGTTGAATGATCAAGGTTAGAAGGTCAAGAGCAGCGAGCCTTAAAATCTGGTGTATATGTATATATTCCTTTTCCCATATTTTTATAAGCCCGGGCGGGGGGAAAACCCGTCACCCCCCCCCCCCTAAAACCGGACCCCCGGGATTTGGAGCTTTGGGACCCTCGGGACGGGCCTCGAAGCGGCCCGCTGGGCCTCGCAGGGCGTTTTGCCAAGCCTTCGCAGCACACCCAGGGCGATCAGGGGGGTCACCGGAGACGTCCCAGAGACCCCCAAAACAGCACAAGAGCGCTCCAAGAAGCCGTCATACCCCGAAAGATCGCTCCAACACGTACCAAGAGGCCTCCAAGAGCACCCCCAAGAAGGCCCCAAGAAGGAACAATCATTAATTCTATGTAGGTTTTTGGTGCATTTGGGGTTATCCTCTTTTCGGCTTCCCGACGCTCCAAGACGGCGGTCTCCTAGGCGTCCGAAAACGCCTGGGAGGCTCCCAAATCGCCCCACAACCATCCGAAAGGGCTTCCAAGCAGTCCAAGGGAGCCCCAAAACGGCACAACAGGAGTCCAAAATGGCCCTAAGAGAGCACCATGGCGGCCCAAGATGGCCCCAAGACACCCTCCGAAGCATTCCAAATCGTGACTGGGGCGTTCAGGGAGACCGCGGTTAGAGGCAGGTTGG